TTTATAAGTTAAGAATAAAAGTAGCATCTGCCTTATAAGGGCATGGGAAAGAATAAATGAGATAATGCATGCAAATCTAGTGTGTAATAAATGTTTGCTATTATCTTCCCTATAGTTAGCTCAGGTAGATTGGAATGTTTCAGTATTTAGCATCAGGGTCCATATAAGTTTATTCATTAACATAGTAAATATACCAAAAGCCTACAATAAGCCTGGCACGTGGGCTATATCAGGAAACAAAACAAACATCTCTGCCTTTGTGGAGCTTAAATTCTAGCAAGGGAAGAAAAATAATAAACAAGCATAAGTAAGTAAATTAGGTAGTATGTTAAGTGATGTGTAAAAAGAAAAGTAGACCAGAGTAAGGAAAAGCTGATGAATGGGGGAGTAAAGAGTTGCAAATTAAGGTAGGCTAGTCAGAGTAGGCCTCGTTTAGGAGGTGACACATGAACAAAGACATGAAAAAGGTAAGGGAGTCAGGCATGCTCTAACTTCTTAGACTAGGATTTCTCAACCTCAGCACTACCGACATTTTAGGATGGATAATTTTTTTTTGTCGTGGGGCCTACCCTATGCATTGTAGGATATTTAGCAGTATCCTGGGCCTCTACCCACTAATTGACAGTAGTACACCCCCTCTCCTGAGTCAGGACAATTAAAAATGTCTCCAGACATGCCAAATGTCCTGTGGGAGAAAAATTGTTCCTAGTTAAGGGCCACTTCCTTAAAGAAAAGTGTTGTAGGCAGAAGGAACAGTTAAGAGAGAGGTGTACCTGGTGTGTCTGAAGAACAGCAAGGAGGAAAGTATGGTTGGAGTTGAGTGAATGTGAAGAGTAATAAGTGAGGGTGTGGGAGACTAGGGGACTGGGCTTCTTTGGCTTTACTCTAATTGAAATGGAGAGCCATGGCATGATTTTGAGCAGATGTGATTTTCATTTTAAAAGGATCACTCTGACTACTGTGTGGAGATTAGACTGAAGAGAGGTGAGGTTGGAATCAGGGGGATCAGGTAGTAAGTATTATAGTAATCCAAGCACAAGATGATGGTGGCTTGTACTAGGTTGGTAGTGCAGGTGCTGAGAAATGGCCAGATTCTGGATATACTCTAAAGGTAGAGCAACAGGATTTCCTGATGGATTAGTTGTGGGGCATATGTAACAGAGAAAGAATTTTCAAGGAAGACTTTGGCCCGAAAAACTGGAAGAATAGGGTTGTCATCAACTGAGATGGGGAAGGTTTTGAGTGGAGCAGGTCTGGAAAAAATATTGATTTAGGATATGTTGAGATATATATGGTGAGATACTTATTAGACATCTAGGTGGAGATGGCTAGTAAGCAGTTTGATACATGAGTTGAGTTAGAGAGTTGGGTTGGGGCTGCAGATAAAAATTTGAGTCATTGACATAGATGGGATTTAAAGCTGAAAATGGATGAGAGCCCCAAGGGAAATAAATTTAGACAGAGAAAAGGGAGGACAGAACTGAATCCTGGCCCTCCAAAGAGGCCTGGAAGAAGAGGAGTGATGGGCAAAGGAGACTGAGAAGGAACAGCCAAAGAGGAAGAAGAAAAATCAGAGGAGGCTGGTGTCCTGGGAGCCAAGTGAAGAACATGTACCAAGGAGAAGAAAGTGATCATATGTGTCAAATGCTGTTGTCTGGAGGACAGAGAACTGGCCATTCTCTGTGATTTGTGGAAGCTGGGGTGTAACAGAATCCTGTGATCTAGATAATCAGCATCACCATCTACATCATAACTACAAAATAAATCTCTGACTTAGTAACTTATTGAGACTTGATTACAGATAAATATATATGGAAAATTTGCTTAGGAGTCAAGAGATCTGGCATCTAGTGTCAGATCCACTACAACAAATAGCTTTGGAGCAAATTGCTTAATGATTGGAGCAAATTGCTTAATTGGAGCAAATAGCTTTGGGGCAAATTGCTTAATGATTTGGAGCAAATTGCTTAATCTCTCCTTAACTATAAAACGTGACTAAAACTATGATACCTATTTTGGAAGATTGTTGGGTGGATCGAATGAGACTATATACATAATAGCTTTGAAATTTAAAATGTTTGATATAAATAATGAAAAAAGATATGTTCTTATTTATAATTCAAGAATGAACTGACCTTTAATGGAAGATGACCTTTTTAAGATCACAGATTTAAATTTTATATTTTTAATAGATAGCTGAGATGATAATCTTATAAAAGTGCTTTAAAAACACAATATTAAGAACATCACTGTCAAGCTTGCGTGCGCACACACACACACACACACACACACACAAAACAGTAAGTTTGGGTAAATAGGCTACCACTGGGGCATCTAAATTTTGTCTCTAAGTAACAGTGAGTTTTACATATGGAATTGTTACCTATTGATAATATGTTAGTGGGACATGAGTTACGTGACTGTGGAGCCACATTTGCAATCCCCATGCATGATTCAAAGAGCCAGGTACCTACTGTCTGCCCTGTAGGAAACAGGATTTAAAAAATGTTGTCATATGTGGTTTAAGAAGCAGGCTGAGTGTCAAGGCAGGGTACCTCCTAGGGAGGCCAGAAATATATGAATAGGTTATTTACTGAGACATTTACACTGTAAAGAAGTCAATTTTAATCAAGAACTTGTGCTATACAAATTAGTTACCTCTTCTGATGACTCTGGCTCCAAGTGAGACTCGCACTTCCTTTCAATAAGTTTAGAGAGAAGATCTCTTCCTCTTTCAGATATGGGCTGCTCTTCCAGCAGAATAGCACTTATGCTTTGGTCCAGTTTACCGTCCCAGGAAACTGCTGACATTTGCAGCGTGATAGAGAATGCTTCCTTGAAATAGGCCTTCAATCCCTGGTCAAGGAAAAGGTGAGGGGGGCAGATCAGTACCACTTCTAGGCACTTGCTATTAAAGCTTTAAAATGATATTTGAAAGAGAAATGGAGCTTGAGATTTATCATCTTTACTCGTGCTCACCATGGGTTACTACTATCATTTGCAATTATGGTGACGCTTATGTGTCGACAGTGAAATATCCAAAGACAGTTGTGATGCTGTTCTCATAGGAAGACCACTTCTCTCCAGAATTCTTATAGAGTGGTGCATGCATTTTGTCATATGCTATCACAGAAAATTCGATCAGGAAAATCTTCTTCCTGGCCAGGTAGTAGGGACCAAAGTCCACTAATAGGACTTCAGTAGATTTGAAATGTTGCAAAGCTTATAGCATTTATTATTTTGGGGAATGGGATCTGAGTCACAGAGAAAGAGAAGCAAAAAGCCCTGTGCACATTATAGATACCTTGTAAAATGACCTCAGAAATGTGGGATCAGAGTCTTGGTGGAAGTCCTCAGCAACAATGTGGGCCAGGCAGTGGATCAACAGCAGAACGAAGCTTCCCACAGATGCCAAACACTCTCTCCCAATAAACAGTGTGTTTTCAGCACTCTGAGTGGAAAAAATACCCAAACACAGAGACGTCAACTTCAGGGAACATTTCCAATGCCTCTTTCTCTTTCTAGTTTTATGGAGTCTAAAATAACTTAGAATTATAAAGTCAGAGACTCCCTGGGCTTAATGGAAATTTACTGAAGGGAAGATTTAGATGACAAGAGAAAAAAATGTTTTAGAGTAACTCTCTGAATAAATCATTTTCTCCACTGTCTCCCAATTTTTCTGCTACCCTCATCTTATAGAAAACAAACTTAGAAATTTAGAGCAAAATTACTCTTGTATCACTGTTTCCTTATATAATGGTTCTAAACTTTAGTGTGAATAAGAGTCAAATGGGAATGATTCTATTCTTGGGGTCCATCCCAGGATTTCTGGTTCTGTGGGCTTTAGGTGGGGCCTCAGCGTTTCCATTTTTACCAAGCTCCCCAGGTGGTAGATGCACGAGGTCCAAGGACCACAGCTTGAGAATCATTGGATTAGAGGACTCTCGGGCTCTCTTTTTCTTTCATGCCTTTATCATAATTGAGTTCCCAAATCTCCTGTCTTGCCTAATTGATTTGAAATAACTCCTTTGTTCATTCTCTTAAGAGGCATTAGGTTGGCACGGAAAAGCCTTAGGCGATTTGGCATCAGACAGTCTGAGATCTGTTTCTGGAATCAGCTGTGGCAGCACAGACTAGTGGTTAAAAATGAGTTTGGTGTCAAATACACCTGGACATAAGTCTCAACTCTTGTTGACACTGAGATCTTGGACAAGTTATTTGGCCTCTCTGGGCCTCAGTTTCCTAACTCATAAATGGAGACAATAAGAGTACCCACCCCTTAGAGGTGGGTTGCTGTAAGTTGTAAATGAGATAATGTGTATGGGCATATGCAAGTGTCTGGCAGACAGCACTCAATGCGTCCCGGGTTTGTTTTCTCATCAGTAAAATGGGATTAAATGCTTGCTTACGTTATAGATTGTTCTGAAGATCAGGTGAAATAATGCCTGGAGAGTACCACATATGCATAACTTTTGGTCTTATTAAATCCCCTACTAGACCTACTAGTCTAATACAAACCATTTCCTAGTCCTCTAACATTGATTAGCAGTTCCTCCTCTCACAATCATTGTGTACTGTCATCAGCGTTTAAGGTCTTTATACACTGGCCTGGAGTTTCTGTCAAAGCACTGGCAATCTACATATTTGAGGGACTACCAGGACAGGAACAATTTATATTCCTTTCTGTTGAAAGATGCTGATTATGCAGGATTTCCTGAAGTTGGAACCATGACTTTTACGGGAAACACTAGTCTGGAATCACCAGCTTTGATAATGACAGAGATTCATTAATGGGCACAAAGCCATTAGGATTCACTGGGCACCAGCCAGGCTATATTCATTTCGCTGATTAGAGAAAGCTCTTACATGGTGACATTTATTATGCCTTAGCTAAATGATTTATTACCAGGGGGCAATAAAATATGTCTGGACTGGAGAGAGAAAAATGTTTTATAATGTTTTTTTTTTTTTTGCTTCTGTCTAACTTTACTAGACCCTAGAAATCTTTAACTCCACATCTGGGGCTGAATTTACAGTACCTGATAGAAGAAGGAATCTTGGAAGACATTGTCTGAGGCTTCCATGGCAGGAAGACTAGAAGCAATCTGCAAGTTTATTTCTGGAGCCTGAAAAGAATAATAAACAAAGAAACAAAAACGAAACCCATCCTTTTGCTAAAAAAAAAGTGCTCATACAGCTCAGCTACATAGCACCACCAAGTTAGTGGGAAGTAAATGCGTTGGCACGTCAATTTAAATTGTAACAAGGTAAGTTGATTCCGAATACAGCATAGGAAAGTAAAAAGGGTATTTAATTATGTGTTTGATATTTATGCCAATGACAAGAATTAATTTACTACTTTTCTAAATGGAGGTAGGCTAGAGTGGCATCAGGGCTCCTGAGCCATCATGCCTGGATTCCAACTTGGCTCTAACCTTTTGGTTGTGTGATCTCAGGTAAGTTTACTCAACCCTTCTGTATCTTTCCTCTTCAGTTTCAAAATGAGAAAAAATAGTAATATTTATGTTATAGGGGTTTTGCGAAGATTAAATGAGTTAATTTATGCAAATTATTAGTAATTTTCCGGCATGTGTAAAGTGCTTAATTCATTTTATTTATTATTAATATAATTTGAGAGATTAGGCTTTAGCTTGGTAAAATGACTCCATCGGTCCCCTTAAGGGAGAGACTAGAAAGTTCCCTGCTCCAGGTACTTAATCCTAGGTAATATTTGCCTCCTCAAAGCCTCCTTCCTGATCACCCTGACCTTCTTGGCTCCAAGGATGACTGTTCCACAGAGAGGCAAGAAACCAGACTTACGTGAAGCTGGGGGATGAGGAGGTGCAGGATGGAGAGGCCATACTGGTAAACCACAAACTCCCTGGCGGAAAGATCTGTGGATTGCACAGTTATCAGCTCTTCCTTCTGCATTATCTGAGGTTTTGAGAAATCCTCCAAAGAGCTTTTGGGGGCTACAGAGATCAAGAAGAACCAGTAATGATTTTACTGACTTTTCTGCACAGTAACAGTATATTAACAACAACAACGACAACAACAACAACTACAACAATAACACAATTCAGCTTAGGAAAAGGTGTATATCCATCCATCCAACCATCCATTCACCCATCCGTCATCCTGTGCTATATGTGCCTCCAGCTCTCCTGGAAAAGCGATTGGGTCTTGGTCAATAGGAAGAGGAGCTAGAATGACAGAATGAGGGTCCCAAAAAGATGGCAACAAATTTTCTTTTATTTCATTGGGTTGCATTGTATTCAGAACAATGTCTGGTGCACAGTAAGTACTCAGTAAATGTTAGCTGTATCAGCAATCTTAATTTCCCACAAAATTGTCTCTAATGGGCCTTGAGTCTTTAAACATTTTCTATCATCATTTTGTTCTTGAGAGGTCATGTACAGAAGGCTTGGGTAGCATGACATAGGAAAGAATGATGAACTAGCAGTCGGAAGACCTCAGTTCTGGTCCAGGTTATATAAGACCCTGGGAGATCCACTTAACTTCTTTGGGCATCAGTTCTCTCATCTATATAAAAACATAATCTTCCACTATCTTATAGAATTAGAGTTTGGGTTTCTGACTGTAAACAAGACAGTGTATATAAAATTGCTTTCAACATTTTAAAGTCGATATAATTATAAAACAAAGAAAATTAAAGTAGTGGTGGGAAGTCTCCAAGAAGGGTCCACCTCTCTGCCCATACTCTTTTTAGTCTCCCCCAAAGGGAGGCAGAGTTCTGGGGTCAGCAAACTGTTTCTGTAAAGGGTCAGGGAGTAAATATTTTATACTTTGCCAGCCAAGAGGCAAAATTGGGGTTCAAATTTAGTGTTCCCTATCCTCATGATAGAAGTGTGGCCTCATTCTCCTACAAAACCTTTCCTTGCCTCTCTGATACACAATGATACATAGAATATGGTGCCTGCATCTCCCTTTTGGCACTACTTTCATAGTGTATAATTTTTCATATGGGAGAGCAGGTTGAGAACACAGGCTCTGGGGTAAGACTCCCTGGGACTGAATTCCAGCTGAACTCCTCATTAGCAATATGATTCTTGACCATTTACTTGACCTATTCAGAAGCTTCACTTTCCTTTTTTATAAAATGAGTAATAGCACCTCCTTCACTGGGTTTTTGTAAAGATTAAATGAGCTAACATATCCAAAGATTTAGAATAGCACATATTGTACAGTACTCCATGAAAATGTTATTTTTCTTTCAACATTTCCCCCCACAATTATTTACAAATGTAAAAGCATTCTTAGCTGTGGGCATACAAAAACAGATAGCAGACTAGAGCTGGTCTGTGGGCTATAGTTTGCCGACCCCTGGTCAAGTTCAAGGGTATTCATAGAACTGTGTTTACTAGTGGCCTGCATCATGGTCAACTGAAAGGAATGCACTCATTTTCTGTTAATTCTCTTCCACCTGGGAGGTGGGCAAGTTGAAAAAGACCTTCAACGCAAGCCAGCCACATTCTCTTTTGACTTCCAATTCCAGGAAGGTGGTAATGTGAGCTGGGAATCCCTTTTTGGGTGTGAGGTCTTTTCTCTTTGTCTCCTCTGTCTTTCTCCCTGTGTCTCACTTTTTTCCCCCATTAACTCCTTGTGACATGTGGCTGGCCAGTATGGGGTCAAATTCCAAGATATAGATTCAGTGTTTAGGGGAGAAGTAGAGGGCCTTTAGGAATTTCTTTCTGGGAATTGGCCCAGTTATTATTACAGTGGGACTTTAATTCCTATTTGTCATTCCTTATATGAAAAAAATCCCTTGGGAATCTTAGGGTGAGGAGAAAGAGATGACTGGCAAGGCAGGGTTTTGATATTCCTGGTCTCTGGAGGTTAAACCATTGAATACCTTCAGTGTCCCATGATAATTTCAAACAGGGGCTACCAGGGAAAAGCGGTTACCCGATTTGTGATGCACTTGTCTTTGTAGTTCAGCTCCCTCCTTGTAGGCTTTGGACCAGATGTCTACTTTCTTCAGAGTAGAAAAGAGTGGTAAGGTCCACATGATGTCAGCTTTATCTGCATTTGACAGAGGGGGGAAAAAAAATACAGTTGTTGAACTAAGGGCAAAGAACTGTGGCCAAAGTCAAAAAGATTTAGGCATAGCATCAGGTATGACAGACGACCTCCCAGATGGTCCCCGTGATCCCCTCCATGTGACTCCGTGCCCCTGTGTAATCAATCCCCTCCCCTTGAGTGTACGTTGGATCTAGTGATTCACTTCTAATGCATAGAATATGGCAAAAGTGATGAGATTAGTATACAACAAGACTGGGGCTTCCCTTTTTTCTTTCCTTTTGCCCTCTTTTGCTTGCTCTGAAGGAAGCTAGCTGCCATGTTGTGAGCTGCTCTATGAAGTCCATGTGACAAGGAATTGATATCTCTGGCTAACAGCCACTGAGGACTTGAAGTGTGCCAACAGCCTTAAGAGTACGTTTGGATTCCCCAGTCAACCTTGAGATGACTGTAGCCCGTGTGATACCTTGAGCCAGAGGCCGCACTAAGCTTCACCCGGATTCCTGACCCACAGGAATTGTGAGGTAATAAATGTTTATTGTAAATTTAAGCCACAAAATTTTGGATTAGTTTGTTATGCAAAAACTAATTTTATATTAGTTTGTTAGTATGTTGGGTTTTTCCATGTTCTTCCTAAAGAACCTATATGTAATAGCCACATTCTTATGGTGCCCGAAGCCCTAATTATAGTGTTAGAATGTATCAAAACATGACCAGGTTTGGCGACAGAAGGGAATGTCAGACTAGTAACCAGCCTTACCTGTTTCTGGCCCACAATCCTCCAATCCTGGGCCATGGCCTTGAGCTCCCTCTAGTGTCCTAGTGAGGCTCTTCAGGAATGGAATTAATAGTGGGCAGGTGGCAGCCTGGTCCCTGAGAGAAGTGGTGACTGTTCCATAAAATCTGTTTCCAGGGTAATTCTCCAAACACACAGGGGTTCCTGAAGCAACAATCTAGGATGAAATAGAACCTAGTTCCGTGCTTGGTTCGCACCTGTCCCACGTGGCTTCTTCGGGAGCTTCTCTCTAAAGCCCCACTCAGAGATAGACACACAGATCTCCTTGGCCACACCAGACATCAGTACCTGGGTGTGCAAGAGCTGGAGGCGGCTCAGCTCCCGTTGGTATTGCAACTGACTGAGAGCCCAATCCAGGAAGCTCTGTCTCTCCTTCACCACAGCCCGAAACTCATCAGAGAGATGCTTAACCACCTAGAACACAGGAAGCATAATGCCCAAGTTAAAATGGAGCTTCTTTCTCCTTCCTCCTGTTCCTTTTGCAGCCAATCCACTGCTCCTTGGGCCCACCTCTCCCTGAGTGTTAAGTTGCCCTGAAGAGCCACATCTGATGACCTGGGAGGATGTGCTCATTCCTGGTGGTTCCTCTTGCCAGCCTCCAAGCCTCACCTTCCTGGGACGGTTCCTCATCTGTGGGCTCTGATTTCTATTCTGCTGTAGCCACATCTCCTCCTTTTGCCCCTGAAGCCGGTCAATTGCTTGCCTGAGCTTTTCCGTTGCATGTCCTAAACTTTGCAGGACTTTCCTCATGCCCAGTGCCACCTGGGCCTCCTGTTCCCACTCCTCTCTGTCTGCTGCAAAAGGTAGAGAAAAAGGCTGCATGGTAGCGGCCACTTCTGAGGGTAGGGAGGAGAAGACAAGACAGTAGTTTATTGGAGCCAGGGGACCTGCCAGGTCAGAGTCAGGGTCTGGCTGGTAGCCTGGGAGATGAGCAGATTCAGAGGGCAGGAGGGACTCCTTATTGGGCAGCTGTGGGTAGTGGCACTACTCCCAGAAGATTTCTGCTCTAAGGATCTGGGCGCAGGGGATGCTTTTGTACCTTGGGAGAGCAGGACCCGTTCTGGGCCACTCTGCATGCTCAAGGCTCTGGCTCTCCTCTCGGTCTCCTTCAGGCAGCGGGACTCCAGGTTTGCACAGGCCTCCTTGGCAGCCCTCAGCTACATAGGACAGGAAGCACAAAGGAATGGGCCATGGAGAGGAAGGGAGGAGCTCTGAGTTGGGCCATCTCAGAGGGATGAGGGAGTAGTTTCCTACTCCCTCACCCCTCCTCCCCTGTTTTGCTGAGACACATAGGGGTGATTGAAAGCTAGGGCCTGGAGC